GGCTTACTTATAAACAATCCTTCAAATCCATTAGGTACTCTTCTTGACAAGGACACGCTACGAGACATTGTAACGTTCATCAACTCGAAAAACATCCATTTAGTATGCGATGAAATCTATGCTGCTACGGTGTTTGATCAGCCTAGATTTATCAGTGTATCCGAAATGGTTGAGGAGATGATTGAATGCAACACAGATTTGATCCATATAGTCTATAGCTTGTCTAAAGACTTAGGATTTCCAGGATTCAGAGTTGGAATTGTTTACTCGTACAACGATACAGTTGTAAACATTTCTAGAAAGATGTCAAGTTTCGGGCTAGTTTCAACTCAGACACAACATATGCTAGCATCAATGTTGTCTGATGAGATATTTGTTGAGAAATTCATTGCTGAGAGTTCCGAAAGGCTCGGGAAAAGGCAGGGGATGTTCACAAAAGGACTAGCACAAGTTGGAATTAGTACATTGAAAAGCAATGCTGGTTTGTTTTTCTGGATGGATTTAAGGAGACTGCTTAAAGAAGCAACATTTGATGGTGAGTTAGAATTATGGAGAATTATTATTAATGAAGTAAAACTTAATGTTTCACCAGGATGTTCATTTCATTGTTCTGAACCTGGTTGGTTTAGAGTTTGTTTTGCAAATATGGACGACGAAACGATGAGAATTGCATTAAGAAGGATAAGGAACTTTGTGCTTCAAACAAAGGGACTTAACAACATTGCTGCTATTAAGAAACAATGCAGTAGGAGTAAACTTCAGATCAGCTTATCGTTTCGAAGATTGGATGATTTTAACTCACCAGCTCACTCTCCGATGAATTCGCCTTTGGTTAGGACATAAAGATGAAGAAAAGAATGGCTTAGATTTGTTGTTGTTGTTTGTATAATAAGAGAAGGAAAAAATTTCCTCTGTTATAGTGAAGAGTGATAGTTTTGATGTATACATTTAGTGTTTGATTATACAATTCATTCCATTTTGGATTTTTATCATATGAATTTTTCTATGTAACATTGTATCAAAATGGGATTCAATGTGGAATTTTATTTGTAAGTTGTACCAAGAAGTTCTATAGTTACACTTAGTTAATGTTGTTCTTGACAATATTGATTGGAAATAACTCTCTGTTTAGAAATAAGCATGGTGTTTGTTTCTTTCTTCTCTTGTAGTGTTCAGGTGAGTACTTTAAGTCTGCGTGTCTTTGTTCTTTCAAGACGTCTGGAATCACTGAGCTATCATGTTATTGTGTTAAAGATGTTCAAAAATATGTTATTTAACCACTTTAATTTTTTTTTAAACCTGTATATGTGGTATAATTTTTTGATATAGACCCTGACATGATTGTAGCTGCGCTACTGTGTACAAGAGTCAAACTAATATGAAATCATGCTGATAGGGCTCCGTTCAAAAGTAAGTGCTCTGTGCCAAAGATTTTTTCACATTCAAAATGCAAAACCAAAAACTTATGATTAAGGAAAGAGTAACCTACTGCACCACGTTAGAGTATTATATTTCAAGTCTACTCATATTTTATATGTTGTGCCCTATCTAAGTTTATTTCTTAATGACCCATTATGTGTAGACTTAAGTTTGTTGCATACCTACTAACAAATATATTAAATTAGTATTTGACTTAATTATATAGACAAAGTCAAAAGTCAGCATGAATAAGATTAAAGCAAGAAGAGTTACTGGTTGACTCAACTAGAAGTGATGATCAAAATTTTATTCAAACAAACATACAATGAGTTGGAGTCTTAGGGGTTGAGAAAGTCCTAACATCAATTATTATTGTTCTCCATAAGGATAAGAAAATATGAACATTTTAGTATATATCACCATTGAAAAAATTAATGAAATATTTCAATCATACCAATAACTTACCAACCACTTTCATATAATAAATAATATATGCTAGTATGATTCCTTTTTCTGATCTAATTGTTTGATGGAGTATATTAATTTCTATCATTGAAAAGACAGTCAGATTTAGCTATCAATAATATTGTACTTAGCACATAACCTTTTGTTGCTAACAATATAGTATGCAATTTTTTGTTTAAGATTGAAAAAAAAACACGATCTACTAAACTTTCACTATACTTGAGGTAGACGAAAAGGAGAAACATTAGTGGTTCGAGTTATTGCAAGAGGTTGTTTCATAGCTTGAAATTGTAACTATTTTAATCGTTGACCCAAAGCTCGCTCTAATCTTGGTTTAACATTGAAAAGAAATATAAAACTTGAATTTCAACACCACTTGAGTGTTCTTTGTTGCTAACAATGAAGATAATTTGGTGCAGTAAACTTCCGCTATATATGAGTGGAATAAGAGGGAGGGGGTCGAGTGTTTATCCATACTAGGTATTATTTTTACACAATCTTATCCTATATTGTTCCAATAACTTGTAACGTGTTCACATGATGACTCCTTTTATTGTTGCATCAATACTCACTCAACCTTGGATTAAAATTGAAAACCAACTTAAAAAAATGAATTTCAAGGACATGAATTTTTTTTATATATATAAGCAAGTAAAATTTCAGGTTACAACTTACACCCTCCTTCATTTTCAAGAAGGAATTAAAAAAACCAAGAAGAAATACAAATTCCACAGTGAATCCCATTTTGATACAATATTGATGGGATAATAGGAAAAATTTCAGATATTAAAAATCCAAAACACTCTCTATACCTTATATCTTTTTTATTTTCTTTCATCAGTTTGCACAAAAATAGAATTAACTGTGAAATCAAATACTTAGTACTATCACTCATCACTACAACAAAAGGAAATATTTTTTTACCTTCTTTTATTAGACAAACAACAAAAACATAACTATACCATTTTCCCCCTTCTTTAAGTCCTGACCAAAGGCGAATTCATCGGAGAGTGAGCTGGTGAGTTCATGAACTCATGATCCAATCTTCGAAACGATAAGCTGATCTGAAGTTTCCTCCTGCTGCATTGTTTCTTAATAGCAGCAATGTTGTTAAGTCCCTTTGGCTGAAGCACAAAGTAACTTATCCTTTTTAATGCAATCCTCATCGTCTCGTCATCCATGTTTGCAAAACAAACTCTAAACCAACCAGGTTCAGAACAATGAAATGAACATCCTGGTGAAACATTAAGTTTCACTTCATTGATAATAATTCTCCATAATTCTAACTCACTATCAAATGTTGCTTCTTTAAGAAGCCTCCTTAAATCCATCCAGAAAAACAAACCAGCATTGCTTTTCAATGTACTAATTCCAACTTCTGCTAGTCCTTTTGTAAACATCCCCTGCCTTTCTCCGAGTCTTTCGGAACTCTCAGCAATGAATTTGTCAATGAATACTTCATCAGACAACATTGATGCAAGCAAATGTTGTGTCTGAGTTGAAACTAACCCAAAGCTTGACATCTTTCTAGCAATGTTTACTACTGTATCGTTGTACGAGTAAACAATTCCAACTCTGAATCCTGGAAATCCCAAGTCTTTAGACAAGCTATAGACTATATGGATCAAATCTTTGTTGCATTCAATCATATCCTCAACTATTTCAGATACACTGATGAATCTAGGCTGATCAAACACCGTAGCAGCATAGATTTCATCGCATACTAAATGGATGTTTTTCGAGTTGATGAACGTTACAATGTCACGGAGTGTGTCCTTGTCAAGAAGAGTACCTAATGGATTTGAAGGGTTGTTTATAAGTAAGCC